CCTAGGGGATGACAAGGTCAAACGGTCACAAACTCCTTCAGGACCGTTTTAGGCTGGACATAAGGAAGAACTTGTTTACTGTCTGAGCCCCCAAGGTTTGGAATAGACCGCCGCCAGAGGTGGTTCAAGCACCTACTTTGAACGCCTTCAAGAGAAATTTGGATGTTTATCTTGCTGGGATCCTATGATCCCTGCTGACTTCCTGCCCCTGGGGCAGGGGGCTGGACTTGATGATCTTCTGAGGTCCCTTCCAGCCCTAATGTCTATGAAATCTAGCCAATGGGACTGGGTCCTGAAAGAGCCTGAGAGTAATGATCAGGGAATGCCAAGTTCTCAATCTGTACATGAACTATTGTTAATTTATTGAGTTGGCTGGTGTACCTAAGTGTATGTCTGTTATCTGTTCAACAGGACTGGAGATCCTCAGCTGTGCTTTTGGGTTGCAGTTAATTCTTATGTTAGGGGACTGCTTTTTGTGCAAGAAGGTTGAGACTGCCTCTATTGTTGCCATGAAGTTTTGATGCTGTTACTTACAGAGCAGGGAGAGCTATGATGTTCTTAGATATTCTTGGATTTGTTGTATTGCTCTGAAGAACTAGTGCAGTCGGGCTCTTTGGACTGAATTTTAAGAATGTGGATGGGGAAGGTAAAGTCCTTGTTTCTGGGCGCAGCTCCAGGTAGAGGCACAATAATGTCAAAAGCCTTGAATGGTCTGGGTCTTGCTTACCTGAAAAGCTGCCTTACAGACTGTCAGAGCAGTTAGGATCAGCTGGGAGCCTTTTGTCATTAGTTCCCATGATACAACCTGTCAAGGACAGCACTAGGGATTTCTCTGTTGAGAATCGTTGCCTTGGGAATTCACTTCTCTTGTCAGTTTGCTGAAGTGAATTCCCAAAAGTAGATGGTGATGTACCAACTTTGAGAGTAAATTGCATTGATAACTGCTCCAAAAAAGAGAGAATGGAATAGACACAAGAAGATGAGTTGGGAGGAGAATCAGGGGAGCGTGGGGCATGGTGGGGTTCACACTGGAACTGAAGGTGTAATTGTCTACAGCTTTGTATATTATGTGGTTGTTGACCTCTGTATGGAGTGGGGCTAGGGGAAAACCAATATTTTTTTCATCATCACTTTTACATCATTTACAACAGTAGTTCTCAAACTTTTTTGTACCAGCACCCACTTGTCAATATCAACGTCTAGTCCCAACCCAGTGCCCCTCACTCCCAACCCACTGCCCCCAGGCTCCAGCCCCCCAGTGTGTCAGGCAGGGGTGTGCGTGTGCGGCACGATGGGACCTAAGCAGCCCCTCACAGGCTGGAGCTCTGCCAGCCTGCCAGGGAAAGCCAAGGTGTCCCACGTTTTTCTCCTTTAAAAGAGAATTAATTTTTAAAGTTTGTTCACAACCCTTTCATATATTCTTTGCAACCCACTTTTGGGTCTCGACCCACAGGTTGAGAAACACTGATTTGTTACAGTCAAAAGGTAAGATGGAAGAATAGTGCTCAGAAAGAGGGAAAGGAAAGAGATGCCATCAGATGCATCTTCTCCGAGAGCAGCTGTTGTTTGTCAGGGCTAAACCTTGATTTTAAAAGGCACCTAAATTCAGTGAACTTAACTTTCTTAAGCTCTGTTGAAAATCCCAGCCTAAACTGTTTGGGGAGGTGAGCTCCCTTCTAAGGAGACCAGGATCAGGCCCTGTAAGCGAAGTATCATTGTGCATATCTATTCATTATTTATGCTGGTATTTGTTACCACAGTGCTCAGAAGCCTGATCAGAGCAGGGCTCCATGTTACTGTGCACTGTACAGACCTGGTAAGAGACAGTCCCTGCCTCCAAATAGCAACCAAAATTGATGCTGCCCTCTCTGTAATAAATAGGCATTACCTTTTCAAACTGTCCTTCTGCTCCTGAAATAAGTGGATCCAGGAGAAATGCAGACCTGTGTGGTTACTGCTAGTAACCACACTGGGACACTGTAGGGGGGGAAGCCTAGCTATAGATTATCCCTCTGAGTGTGGGGAGCTGCCTGGTGGGCTGGAAATGGAAAAACTACAGTTGCAAAGAGTTAATGTAAGGCCTGTGTTCAGCCCTGTGAAGGTGGGGGTTGGGGGGGTGGGTAGAAATTCCCACTGGAGGGGTAGGTGGGAAGAAAAGCAGCACTTTAAGAATGAAGGCTGAGAAGGGAAGAGGACAGATTTAAGTTTTATCTGTCCAAGAAAATTGACCAGCATAGCTGTTGCAGAATAATTATACCACATCTAGCAAAGCTGGTATAACTCTCTTAAGTCCTTATTCTGTAATGACTCTACTTTCATAGGGTGGGGGTGATTTTAAGAGGGGAAGCTGAAGAAGGAGAGGGTCGGTGTCATTTGAAGAGTGAGGAACGGGGGCAAAATCTCTTCGTTTAAGCAGGAAAATTATTTCATTGGCAGGAAAATCAGCCCATACTGTGAAGTGACACACCTCAAATTTCTCTCAGCGATAGGTCACAGCAGATCTCTGGATCGCTGGGCCCTTCCTTGTGGTCTGCAGGATGCAAGATTTGGAGAACGTTTTGTGAGACTGGGGGAGGGGACTGAATGTATTGGGAGGGGAGGTAGGTCTGTGGAAGGGGCTCGCTCTGTCTGTCTCAAGAATAATCCACAGAATGAAAGGGGTTGGGAACTGCTGCAAACCTTCAAAATGCTGGCTATCAGAGGGTTTCAGATTACACTGACATTTAATCCACGAAACGTGAAGCATATGCCCAGGATGGGGCTCTACAGCATATTTGGCATTTGGTAGGTCGTGCCAATTTTTCATTAGTGTCTGTTGCTCCTCATTCAGTTGCAGGCTGCTGCAGAGGCTAATGCTTTCTTTGTCGCACTAAGGTCCAAAGACCCGTTACAATGGGTTCTTCAGGCTGCTGGCAGCTCAGGGGCAGAACCAAACCTGTCAGCCGCTGGCAGTGAGCAAATGCTCCATTTTTAGCTGTTTCCTTTGCCTCATCAGGGGCTCAGTCAGACCTCCCTGCTGCTGCTGAGTTTGACTGAAGGGAAATCCTTCCTTCATTTCCTATTTCTGGGTTACCCTTCCCCTTGGTCCACAGCTCCCTTCAGTCTGTGTGTCTGTTCCCTGCCATATGTCTGTGCGGGTGCATTTGGGGGACTGCATGTTGGGCTCGGCTTCCCCTTGGAAGAGTGCTTGCTATTGTGGGTACTGCTGCAGGCACCAGGCTGAGTGAAGCCAGGAAGGTATTCCCTGCCCTTATGGCCCATGCCCCCAAGGAGCACGGTCAGATCTGTGGACAGGGAGTCAGCTTCCCTCGGGCCTGGGCCAGCTGGAGTCGTCAGGGGTAAGAAAGGAACCAAGCAGGATTGCCTGGGCGAGCCAAAAGCCTCCAGTGGGCCTGTCCCTCGCTGTGGCCCCAGCAGAGCTCCTGCTTGTCCTCTGCTGAGGGCTCAGGAGCCCCAGCCCTTGCCCTGCCCATGGCAGAGCCCTGCCTCTCACCTTGGAGCCCATGCCTGGGGCTTCCCGGGAGGGGCTCAGTACAGGCCTCTCCTGTGTGTGTACATGTGGGTGTATATGTGTCTGTGTGTGTGTACTGTGTGGGGGTGTACTGTGTGGGTGTGTGTGTGTGTAGACGTGTTCACATATGTGGGTGCGTGTACTATGTGGGTCCTGTGGGTATGTGTGTGTGTACTTGTGTATATGTGAGTACATATGTGGGTGTGTACTATGTGGGTATGTGTGTATGTATGTGTACTGTGTGGGTATGTGTGTGTGTACTATGCGTATATGTGTGTCCACATGAGGGTGTTGGGTGTATTGTGCGGGTACGTGTGTGTACTATGTCGGTACATGTGTGTATGTGTACATGTACATGTGTACTATGTGTGTACGTGTGTACATATGGTTTTGCGCACATGTACTATGTGGGTATGTGTATGTGTGCACTCGTGTGTCTGTTCAGGTGTACATGTATGTGTGTATACATGTGTGTGCACTTATACACATGTGCACTTGTGCATACATGTACGTGTGTGTGTGTTGCGGGGGGGGCGCGAATTACCCTGGGGCGGGGCGGGGCTCCCCCTGATCGAGGGCAACCGGTTACCCTGGGGCAGGCGCCGGCCCCTCCTTGTCGCGGGCCTCGCGGGGGAGGGGGGGGCGGGAAAGGGGCAGTGTCGCTTTAAGAGGCGCGAGCGGTGGCTGTCTCTTTAAAAGAGAAGGAGGGGGCGGTACCACCTCGCGGCGGGGTGGGGGGGGATCAGGCTATGTTAATTGAGGGGGAGGAACCAAAATGAATGGGGGGAGGTAAAGGCGGCGCTTTCCCCGCAGGCGCGGAAAGGGCGGGGGGCGGCAGGGTGGCTCGTGGGCGCGGGCCTGTCTCTTTAAGAAAGCTGTTCGTGCTATGGGAGGGGGCAGGCTCCTCCTCTGGGACTATACCATTCCGGGAAGCAGGGGAGGGGGGAGAGCTCTGAAAGGCAGGACCATCTCCTGAGCGAGTAGGGGCCAGTACTATTCCCGGGGCGGGGAGGGACGCGATGGGCGGCACTATTCCTCTCCTTGTACTGGGGGTGGGGGCGATGGGCGGTACCATGTGTGCGGGGCTGCGGGGAGGCGCTGGCGGACAATGGAGCC